GTGGTATTCTGGGTACCAGAAGAGGTGGGGGGGGGGGGGGCTGGGCGAAACAGAAGTACCGTCACCCTTGTTTTTCTTGGGAAGGAAATCATCATCAGAGACACCTTCCCGTGGCCGTTTCTGGGACGGAGTGGGCCTCCTGAGCCCGGGGATAGCAGAGATAGGAACAACCTCCAGGGCAGCAGCCGATTTGTGCACAGTCAAGGCAGTGGAGCCACCTTTGGACTGACTCCCGGTAGAACTCATAGCTGGGTTGGACTCTGCAGCAGAAGGAGCCTTCGATCTCTCAGGAGAAGGCACACCTTCGAAGGGAAATGGGTCAGGACCCAGGGGGTAGTAAAAACCCGCCTTCTTGTACAATTGGGCGTCTTGAAGAGAGAGGTGAGATATTAAACCCTCTTTCTTCCTCAAGGCGTTGTATACTTCGCTCGCCAACTCTGCTGCAGCAAATTTCGTCCGGGAAATGGAACGGCGGAGGACAACACCCGGTAAATCAAGGGGATTGTGAGCCGGGAACTCAATAACGAAGTATCTCAGTGCCCATTTTTCAAGCTTGAACTCAACCTTCTCAAAGATTGGGAAATGGTTGTGGGGATACAGGCTGTAGAAAGGAAAAGACCCACCGAGGCTGAAGAGGATAAGGAATTCATCCAGTGTTGGGGTTCTGTCCAGGGCGCAGCACCGCAGGATGTAAGACGCCACATACTTGTGCGCATTGGCGGTCAATTGACCCAGAGCAAATCCAAAATGGCGGCAGAGATCGCGGAGCAGACTGTGGAGGGGCAACCTAAACCCATTTTCTACAGAATGGTATTGCATGACCATGTATTTCTGGGGGTTTGGATTGTGGGATAGACTGATCCCCCCAAGGGCATCGGGATGGTGGACCCGGAAGCCCTTGCCCAGAAGCACGACCATTTCTCGAAGCTCATTCTCCTTGATAATGGAGGATTCGTGGGTCCAGGTTTCGGGGTTTGAAGGAGCCATTTTGGAAAGAGAAGCGAGGATTTCGGGAAATTGCAGTCGGAATTCGGGTCGTGTTAAGATTCAGTGGCGAGAGGAAGAAGACGAGTCCAGAAGGGGTTTTTATCCGTTGAAAGGATGGACCCGAAGTACTCGAGTGCGACGTTTCTAATCCAACACGAAAACCGAAGGCGGCTCATCATTAGTTTTCTCGCGACACGTCGCCAGAAAACTAGGGGGCTTGTGATGGATATCGGATCTGGTAGACTCGACTCCAGGCCCAAATAAAGGCCTATATTAACCCAAGAAGGAAGAAACTCAGTTGGAGATAATGGGTCGAGCCCATTATTGCGCATATGGCAGATAGAGAAAGACGGCTCAGTCATGGAATAAATTAGGGTGACCTAGTCCGAGAAAGGAGTGGTACACGTGGCCCACGTCATTGGGTCATATGCGGAGTGGGAAGAGAATGAGACCGGAAAAGGGGGGATCACAACTCCATGATCTCCATACTCCTTTCCATTTTTGTGTAATTCTAATTAAAATATTAGAGATACTATAAAAAGGGGGAAGACCCCGCCATTGTAAAGCATAAAGTAGTTCACGACACAAGTGAAGATTATTATTAAGAGATTATAACTTTCTAATTTATATTACGTTTTTGGTCCGCCATCTGATCGGGTTAATCCCATTATATATATATATATATATATATATATATATATATATATATATATATATATATATATATATATATATATATATATATATATATATATATACACACACGATATAATGGTTCTAGAGAGAAGAGAGAGGATTCCGGCCAATTCTCCAGCATCTCTGCCGGAAAATGAATCCAAAAATAATTCAACTCAGTTTATCAAACTATTCTCTCAACTTTTTGCTCAAAACTCAGTCAAAGAGCTGGGCAAAGGGGAAGGATTATATAATGGAATTCCTTCACTAAGCTTCACAGAGGAAGAAGAAGCCATGCTGGAGAGCAAGATGCACTTCTCAGCAGTAGGAAGGAGCATAAAGGAGCAACATTTGTCATCACTTAAGAATTTCCTACTCAAGGTGGGCTTTGGTCATTTCAAGATTAGAAGAATCAACTCAAGGGACATACTGTTTACATTCAAGAATGAAGATGATAATTTAGTGGCGGATTAGTGGCGGATTATCAAGTTGATAATTTAGTGGTCTCCAATCTTTTTCATCAAAGCATCAAGCTCCTTCTTGAGTTTATTCTGTTCAGCAACTAAATCTCCATGGGACATGTTTTGGGAGTGGTTTGACATGGTTTTAAGGAAGAAGAAGTGCAGGGTATTTTGGGGTATAGGTTGGACGAATTGGGGTTCGTTTTTGGGGGCCTAAGGTGAACAAAGATAGGTTATGTTGGGGTTGGTTCCTGGACAGTGAGTTGGAAGGTTTTGGGAGTATGTTTTGGCTTGGTTTTTGGATGGTTTAGCCAGGGACTGTTTTAGGTGATAAGGTGGGTGGGTTTTTGGTTTTTTTGGGTTGTCTTTGGCTTCTCAAACCAAAGCAAAAGGTGATGGAGGAAAGGCCTTTTTTTTTGGAGGGGCTGGTTCTGGGCAGTAGGTATTGAAGGAAAAAAAGTGGGTTTTGTTGGGCTGTTTTTTTTTTTTTTGCAGAAGGTTTGGGACGAAAGGGTTGAGAAAGGTGGAGGGAAGTGTTTTTGGCCCTTAGGGATGTGGAACAATGAGCTTTGATACCAAATGTTAGGAGAGAACCGGGGGTCTTATCAAGTTGATAATTTAGTGGCGGATTTAGTGGAGGGTGTTTTAGGAGTTCTTTTTGGTATTTTATGGAAGAAAATAATAGGATAAAGAAGGAGAAATGGGGAGGTAAGAAATGGAAGAAAATCAGGGATGGATAAACCAAGTTGGTGTTTAAGAGATATAACACACTCTTATCCTATCTTAGGGTTTGAATCTAGAATTTAATTAAGATATGACACACTTAATCAAATATCTAGAACCTAAAACTCACACTTAAGATAACCACTCTTAAGATATAGAATTAGGAATTTGGCTAAAATAGCATCACACTATTTTAA